AAAATACAATATGTACGGCAACATCTGATATTTATATAGCTATTAATCAGAAATAGTTATAAATGATTAATTTAAAATTTGATCGATGCCGAAATGGTTTATGATTAACTAAGCAATTACTATTCATCGTCTTACGTTCTGTAAGAAATTCTGAATGCATGTCCTGATGCAAGTCTATAAATTTTTTACAATTATTAATTGATGTTTTAAAGTAATATGATAATTATTCGATTTTAGCTCAACAGAAGCAACATAAGTTAGATATGCTTTTGTAAGATCTCGCTTACTTAAATTCACTTCAATTTGATCAATTTGCTAGAATTAGCAGAACACTATCTTATCTCACAATAAGACAACTTTGTAAATTCAATACTGGTAGCAAAGTGGCAGGCTTGGATGTACAAATTGAAAGTTCATAACTGATTATTCATATCTGCGAATAATTCTTGTAAATGTCCGAGTCTTGCCGTAGCCATAACAATGGTAAGCTAATGCTGGAAAGTTATAATTGGATAGGGTTCTTGGGAGGACTGGATTTCTTTTCTTCCTCTACCCATGAAAGTAAAAGAGCCTTAGCCCGAGTAAGATAAGCAAATCTTTCCTCTCGAATTTTTTTTAGTTTTTCTTCCACATTGATATTTTTATCGGGGTGCAATAAATGGGATAGCTTGAGAAATCTTTTGGATATTTGATCTTTTGTTACCTTTTGATAGGGCCGATATTTTAAGAAGAATATATGACAAGCAGTTCGAACGGTTTCTGCTTTAATTAATTGGACTTGCCAATCGTGACTCGTTAATACATTAGTCATTTCTTCCGTAATTGGAGAGTTCAAGTCAAGTTCTAAATCTACTTCTACCACGGGAGGTTTTTCTAACCCTTGTAAAACATCTTGTATCTCAGCTTCTATACCTTGCCGCATTATCTTTTCGTTTTCGGCATTAAGATAATGATCATATGCTTCCGTTCTTGATTCCTCTAGTAAATCTTCTGTTTCATGACGAGATTTTTGCTCAGCTGCATATTCCACTCGGATGCGCTCAATTTCTTTTAGCTTTTTTTGCACTTCTGCTTTGCTAGCGTTTAGCTGCTTGTTTAATTGTTCATTTTGTTGCTTTAAATTGCTTAGCTTATGAGCAATGTCACGACGATTAGCTTCGACACTAAGTTTTGCGTAAATTTCTTTCTTTGCTTGTTGTCTAGCGCCTTCAATTAAACTTTCTGCTTTTTCACGTAATCGTTTCTCATGTGCAAGATCATTTTTAGACTTTTCTGCTTGCGTTCTAGTCTTAACAATTTGTCTTGTAATGGATGATATTTGCTTATTTAAGTTTTGTTCTTGTCCTTTCAATCTGTGAATCTTATTTAAAGCATCTTGAAGCTCAATTTCGGTCTCGGTTAGTGGTGAGGATGA